AAAAATTATTAGAACCCTTTTCCCGATAAGTTAGGTTCTATGAAAATCAATAGAAGTATTGTAAACTTTTCTCATGGTGCCTTTTTATAAAATAGGTCTATTTCAATTGAAAATATGCTGGAAATTTCTCTACTTGTAAATATCCTATTCATCCAGAGCTCCTTCAGTATGAATAGGCAGGCAAATATTCATTTGATAATTGATTACCAGCTATAGAAATGATATTATATAATTATAATTAAATTAAGATTGCATAAAATTGGGTTTCTCCACTTCATTCAGTTTCATGGAATTTTATAATTTGAAATCTTAAAATATAATTCAAAAAGAGTTTCTTTAATTTCGGTCTCAAAATAATAGAACACAAGAAAATTTGGAACAAAAGAAGGTTTTGAAGTAAATCAATGAATTTTTAGTGTAAATGGGAAAAATAAATTTGATGTTGAATCCTTTCTTTCATTTATTGTTAATATTTTTTATATTTTTTCTTCAATTTTTTGAATGTTATGAAGGCTAATAAAGTTCAAGGTTTTTAGTTGCATCCTCTTATTGCTAAAATACCTCATGTAGATAACTTTAATTTTTAAGTTTAATAGGAAATTGGATTTAATAATCACTTTAGCCTTATTTTACCTCCTTTTTGATTGGCATTCTAATTAATTTAATGGGATGGTCTTGTTTTATCCAATAATTTGCAGTAACTTTGTGATTTTCTAATCCCTATTTGCAAAAAATAAATGGTTTATTACTTGAATCAGGAGCTATCAAGATTTTCAGGTTGCCATTTTTTTAAACCATATAAATTTAATTCTAAATAAAAAGAAACTAAAATTAAATGTTGGTTCATCTAGTTTTTGACACTCATATAAATACACACATCCTCCTAAATCAATAATGAAAATTTACAAAGTGTCACCTACTGTTGGCATCATTTCTTCTCAAAATTTGGATCTTAGCCTTTAAAATTTAAATCGCTTTCTTATGATTAACCAATTCATAATGTGAACGAAAAAAGACAATTGATTTTTAATATAGACAGAGAAAGATCCCAAACTGTTTCTATTATTTTTTAAAACATATTGAATAGCAGTTCAGTTTCAGGGATTTTGAACTTAGCTTAATTATTTCAGAAGAATACCTTCTATAATATTAACTTAAGATTCAATTTTTTTTTTTTGTATGGGAGCTGTAACATATAATCAATAGGGTTATAGATGAAGAAAAAAAAGAAATCCACTTTTAGTGTTGAAAGTTTATATTTAAATTTTGGTTCTTAATAGTTCATTACCTACACCAATCGATTGTAAAAAGACTTCTATAAGTAAAAATATAAATAAGTTAACCTAGCTGATTTTATGGGTTTATTAGTATAATATTGGAATGTCAACCACAGCATACTTACCAAAAGAGTGGTATTGATATTTGATATTCTCTTAACCAAAAGAGGAGTATTAAGAATAAAGTAAAAAAGAAATACTATTTGAACTTGAGGATATATATGTACAAGGAATAAGTCATAACAGCTTACATCAAAATTTTAACTCATTATTATCTGATGATGGGAATAACTAGCATGATAGTAGATATAATAAATGCTAAAACAATATTTAATAGTCTCTGGGTTTTATTGTTTTAGATT